CCCTGCCTGCTCTTCCCCCCTCCCCCCTCCACCCCCCCAATCATTCTTGACGGACATTTGGCTAGTTCCTAAATAAGAGCTGGTAACTACCTACTTTTACATAGGCTCCATATTTCTGTATGCTTGCCTTGCTGATCCACAAAAGAGACGCTGTGGTCTGTGTCCTTTTTGCTGATAAATATCAATGCTGAATGGATAATAGTTTTGTAAGTCAGAGATGTCAAAGATGTGGCCCACACAGACTTACTTCCCAGCCCCCAGTGCTGCCTGCGGGTCTCTGAGATAAGGCACAGAACGGGACATGTCCACTGTGGGTGCTCTGGGACATGCACTAGAGCTGCATGTGGGGCCAGTCTGTGCATCTAATCCAGCATGCAGACTGGCCTTATGCCACTCATCAAGTGCATGGAGCTGAATGAGTTTGACAGCCATCCTGTAAATGGTTGTCCGGCAGCTACCATATGGAGAAGGCCACACCCTATTGTACCATTACAGTGAAGTGTAGGCCTATACCCTCAGACAGTGGAGACCTGACCACTCATCCTAGGCAATTCTGGTTCTCACTCTGCTACCTTTTAACTCAGTCTGTTCTGTTTTGACATGGTTTTGTGAAGCTGGCAGAGTTCAGAATATCTTAGTTCACAGCCACATAGAAGATTTTTCTGCAGCCTGATATAGCAGAACAGAATGCTTTTTGACAAGTTACCCATTTCCTATGGTACTTAATTAATGGTCTGCAGGCCCAGAACACTTTGGATTATCTATCAGCTCTGAAGGAATGCATTTTTTAGCACACGATATTTTTGTCCCCAGAATGGCTAGAATTAACTGGCTTGATCCAATCCCACCCTCAGTCATCTGTGTACTTTATTCAATATGTTGATGAAGACTGCCCTTTTAGTAACTATAACATCAGTTTGGGAAGGAAGGGTAATCTTTTTTCAAGACATACTGACCCTTCAATCTCACCTCCAAGCTCTTCTCTAAAATAGTCTTTGATTTTGATTTTAAGTAAACTGATTCACCTCACAGTTCTCTTCAGTTCGTGCTCAGGTCCAGACAAAGCTGTCAAGGTAATCTGGACAAAATGAGACCCTTTGGGAATTTCTGAAGATTGCAGAGGAGAAGTTAGTTAACTGGTTCTTTGTGTTATGCACATAGATTCCATACCTGATTCTTTCCCAGATGCTATGGAGTCTTGTACCACCTGGATTCTGTAGTGTGTAAGAATAAGGAACAGTTGAGGGTATGAGAACATCTGTGATATAGGCCAGCACGTCTTAAAAACACAGTAGCTACAGGGAAAATAACAAATTTTCTTGTAATACAGGCAACCTTATTTGGGACTGAAGGTAATGCCAGTCGTGAGATAATGTATCCCTTTACTACTGAAGCATAATAGAACTGGGGTTTGTACTTTTAAGGAATAAATGGAGCCCTAAAAAGTTGTGCTTCAGGACCCTGGCTAGCTGAAGCTAACTGTATAGTAAGAAGAAATAATACAGTAGTTTTTGCTAACGTGGCTGGTGAAAATATATATGCAGTTAATATTTAATAGGTATTTTTGTGCATCTTTTTTATTTCTATTTAAGGTTGTTGGTTGTAGCTGTGTTGGTCTAAGGACACAGGCAGACAAGGTTCTTCGGGTAGATGTGATATCTTTTTATTAGACCAATTAAATAGCTGGAAAAAATGTTCTTTGCACGCTTGTGCCCAAAAACTTGCAAAGAACAATTTTTCCAACTATTTAGTTGGTCTAATAAAAGATGCATCATATCTACCCAAAGAATCTTGTCTGTCTATTTCTATCTAAAAAATTATAAGTTCATTTCTGTTTCTAATAGTAACTTTCATCCACATACACCTCCCAAATGAATGGGTGTTTACCTTCCCTAAACTAGATGAATGTTCCTGAATGTTACTTCCCACAAATCACAAATTGAAAAAAAATTTTTTTTCTTCTAAAGAGGGTTTGCTTTAGATGGTTTGACAATAACAATAATCAAAGATGACTACATTGTAGTCTGAAAACTTTAAAGATGTATCTTTATATTTTCTATAATACTTGATATACAAAAACAAAATACATAATGATCCAAAAACATAGTGGTCACAGGTGCTTGTTATGTAGCAGTATTCTTTATATTGTATGCTGATATTATCCTTGTAGCGCATAGCCTTGTTCCAGTCCAAAGGCTATAACTGCACCACAGAGCTCCTGAAGTGTCAGTTGTGCAGGTGAATTTGGTGTAGTTAGTTGCTCTGCAGGACATCATGGAGCCACCGTTTCCCCATTCCTTTCTTCCTATTACCTGGAGATGCACACCTGGAAACCAGTCCCTTTACTTTTCAGAGCAGACTTCTGTGTGGAGCAAGCTGCTTTTGTACTATTTCCTCATACCCTCATCCCACACTGCTAGACAGTGAAATCATAATCTGATATTATTTGAATTGTTGAACAACTGCCTTTTTTCAAACTTGGAAAAAGTAAGATATAATTACAGTAAAAGTTGAAGAAAGATTGGATTTGGAGGTGTGTGCATATATGTTCTTCAAAGATGCCAAGGTTTATTTTAATTACTGAAGTACCTCAGAACTTTCTCATATTCAAAATTAGCAAGATTAGTTAACATAGCTGTTTGTGCATGGGGGGGGAGTTATCAATACTTTGATGGTGACTTTCTGACACTTCGAAAAAAAAATATTGGTGTGCTCTCTTAACAATAGTTGAGGCGCATAACTGTTGGTATGAGGGAGATAGGGGAGGGAGAAAAGTCTGATGCGACTGATCAAGCTAATTGTTAAATCAGCTTTGCGCACATTTGCATCTCACATAATACTGATATAGGAAAAAAATCAAATTGGCTTAAAAAGCCAAGATTAACAGTGATTCAAAAATACTATATTTACTTAATTCCGAAGTATTTTTCCTATTCAACATGGGGAAAACAAAGCCTCAACTTTGAACTATCGTGTGAAAATGCAGTCAGAAGAGGTGTCAGGAATCCACTCAGTGAAGCACAGGGTAACACAGAGAAATGCCCTGTAGGTGGCTCGAGTTTCAGACAATTTTATTTCCATGTCTTATTCTGCATAATAAAAAAGCTGGAAGAGGCAGATGGAAGGAGGTTGAATCTGAGAATGTTCATGTATATATTTGTCTCTCTGGGAGCACAAAATGTCCCCTGCCATGAGAACTAAGTTTTGGTCCAAACTGGACTGACACTGACAATGACGCTGGCATCTCATCCTGCCCTCTTCCATTCATCTGATTCTGAGAAATTCATATACTTAAGGACACTGCTTCTGGATTATCAGATATCTGGATTGCAGAAAAAATATTTCTTTTTACTCTTTTCCGTAATGTCAGAGTGCCAAGGTTTTATCCTGGACATGTATCTGCAGTGGTGGATGACTATGACGCTACATGTCTGTGATGAGACTTTGTTTGTTGGCTTGTTTAAATGTGTCTTGTGGCCTGTTTATATCAGCATTACACGAATACTTTTTTTCTGGCTTTTTGCTTTCTAGGAAACTAGTTGTTGTGTAGTTGGTTTGAGTTTTCTGGGCTGATTGTTTTATTTTTAAACCCAGATTCTGATGGTAACCAGTAGTCTGGTGTACTTAAAAAATGGTCTGAATTACTGCTTCTCAACCTCGGAGTGGGTGCCTCTATACAAGCAATTAAAGCAACTCAAACTCTGGTAGATGCTGTGCCTGGGACAGCAGCAGTTTGAGCCAGGGTGAAGCAGCCCCAGGCTGGCAGCAGGCTTAGTGGGTCAGCTTTGGGCTGCAGGTGGTGGCGGCAGAGGGACTGGCTAGGGCATGAGAGTGCAAAAGTGCAGAGACCTGCAGCAAGCAGCCCCTGCACTTTAGCATCCTCATACCTCAGCCAGCTCCAGTCACCATCTACACATGCATTTCATTGCACTTAATTACTCCACTGTAAAATAGTACTGTCCCCAGGAGTACTATTTTATGGCGTAGTCAATCTACTGCATCCTCACAGTGGTGCACATGCAGACAGTGATGCTTTACTGCAGAGCAAATGCACAGTAAAGCGCACATGTAGATGCACACAGTATCCAGTAGAAAGTGCAGGGTCTGTTTGGATTTATTGCTGGGGATAGGGAGATTGCTCCCTGTAAGTTTTTTGCTCCAGGTCCTCATTCCAGTCCCAATGAAAGGTAAACAAAGCTATAGAAAAATGGCCTGTAATAAGGGAGTATAGAAGGTTGGAAGGTGTATGTGTGTAAAGAAATAAAATAGTTTCAGAACAGAAAGTTTAGAATTATCCCAAAAATATTGTGATTTTCAGACCTGAAAGTTTAGAATTATCCCAAAAATATTGTGTGTGCACACATGTGTGTGTCTCACTGTACAGATTTATACCTGGGATTTTAATATGGTTTTATTTCTTAATTCTTGCACTTCTGTTCGTTAATTGGCCTACAATGAAAATTGCTTCTCCTCTCCCCTCCCCTCCCCTCCCTTGTCATTACTGGTCCAAACACATTGTCACCCTTCAGTACCTCCCTCATTACAGTTAGTGTTTATATCCCAGTAGGTTTCTCTGCTTTCCTCAAAAGCAGATTCCAGATCTGCCTACATCCAGTGTTGAGTGACTATACCAGATATTCCTGGAAAGGAAAATGTTTCCAAATGCAGTGTAGACTGTCTAATCTCATCTTCATCTTACAGTTTTGTGCTTTTTATTCTTCTCCCTCCTACATACAGGTCTTCGGTGCTCTAGCCTCCGAACCATTTAAAGTGAGTGATGGCTTTTATGGCACTGGAGAGACATTTCTGTTTACTTTCTCTCCAGATTTTGAGGTAAGGAAATATAAATTCTTTACATGTAATTTATCCCTCCATGAATACCTTAGCTTCCTAGAGTTACTGACATTGGAGTAAGTTTAGGCTGTTAAAGGGTGATGGGGAGCTGCTTTATACCTCTGAAGAAGAAAGATTTCCTACCTGTACTATACTTACGCACTTCTTCCATCCAACATTTTTTTTGTCCAGATACTGTTTTGTCTAAAATGTAAATAGTGAGCATCCTAATGCAGGGGGATGGCCTTTCTGACATGAATGTGCTTTTAGCCATCCCCATAAAAATCCATACAAACTCGGTCACATTTTAACTGTTTGCTCTAGAGACTTTCTAGAGTTTTAACAGCTGAAATCTGAAGATTCCTTTCTTGCAAGAGCCACACTTAGTTGATCCAAAAACTTAGTTGTACATGTGCCTCGGTGCTGGAGCCCCCTTTCCTCCAGACCAGGGCTACAGGGGCAAAAAGCAAGCTGTTCTTGTAGTAGTTGATCTGGACTAGCGTGAGATTTAGTACCAAAATTAGGGGAGAGATTCCCTGTTCCCATGCTCAAGAGGAAGAGACAGGACTGAGACCTGGTTGAAAGGCAAGGGGCAAAGGGGTCAAACTTGAGGGGGTGATTTCCCTTTCCCTTTTATATCTGTTGTTGACAAATACTAACTTGTAAAGTGTTCCCTACTCCTCTACTTCTGGTCCCTATAGCAGATAATTGCTACTTGTATCAGCTATTTCATTACTCTTCCATTTACTGTTACTTCAATTGGTTGAAGTAACAAAGCTTGGACAGTGGATTAAAGGGTCCTCCCAGACATTACGTTTACAATTGCAACATGCCACACATTCAGACAATTTATGGTGCAATAGCATGGAAAGCCAAAAGTGTTCCACAATTTACATGAAACAAAAAATCATAAGAAAGAAGGCTGAAAAGGACATTATGAGGTCATGTAGTCCAGCCCCCTGCTCAAGGCTGAGATTTAGTCCAGAATGATCCTGTCAAGTGCATCTAACCTGCCCTTGACATTTTGCAGAGTTGAAGGTCCCAGATCTTTTGTGGCTAATTTGTACTATAATTTAATTTGAACATGCAGCATGCAGCTTAGCATCTGGCTGCACAGTGTAGCTTTACATGTCCACCACGACTCTCTGGCCGCACCCAGAGAGTCATGGTGGATGGGTCGGTTTCGACCTGGAAGGGTGTGGGAAGTGGGGTCCCACAGGGTTCGGTCCTTGGACCGATACTCTTTAATGTCTTCATCAGTGACTTGGACGAGGGAGTGAAGTGTACTCTGTCCAAGTTTGCAGATGACACAAAGCTATGGGGAGATGTGGACATGCCAGAGGGCAGGGAACAGCTGCAAGCAGATCTGGACAGGTTGGACAAGTGGGCAGAAAACAACAGAATGCAGTTCAACAAGGAGAAATGCAAAGTACTGCACCTAGGGAGGAAAAATGTCCAGTCCAGCACACCTACAGCTTAGGGAATGACCTGCTGGGTGGCACGGAAGTGGAAAAGGATCTTGGAGTCCTAGTGGACTCCAAGATGAACATGAGTCGTCAGTGTGATGAAGCCATCAAAAAAGCTAATGGCACTTTATCGTGCATCAGCAGATGCATGACAAATAGGTCCAAGGAGGTGATACTTCCCCTCTATCGGGTGCTGGTCAGACCACAGTTGGAGTACTGCGTGCAATTCTGGGCGCCGCACTTCAAGAGGGATGCGGATAACCTGGAGAGGGTCCAGAGAAGGGCCACTCGTATGGTTAAGGGCCTACAGACCAAGCCTTACGAGGAGAGACTATAGAAACTGGATTATTCAGCCTCCGCAAGAGAAGGTTGAGAGGCGACTTTGTGGCTGCCTATAAGTTCATCACGGGGGCACAGAAG